ACATCAAATCAAGACATCTGGGAACATTAAAACACAGACAAATGCCTGAAGTAACTAGTGCAGGTTTTCAAAAGACCCAAACAAGAATCTATTAAAGATTTTCTTTTCTCAGTGATCAGATAAAACAACTTATTGATCACTTTAAAATTTATTTTTAGACCTCCCGGACCTAGAAAGATTTTGTAAACCCTTTTTAGCTATAGGTCCACAACTGCCTAAGTATTTTGTCTAGTTCTTGATAAAACTTACCAATGACTACATATTAACTGCACTCCATTAAAGTTGGTTTAAAAAAAACATTACCTTTACAAATTTATAACATGGTTTACTCTAAAAATGAAATTTCTGATAGTTTATCTTTTCATTCATCAGATTAAAAATTCCAGTTAATTATAATAATAAAGTTTCCTAGAACTAGCTTCATTAATAAATGATGATGACAATCACAATAATATAAAAAAAAGAATAAAGGCAAACATCTATTAAGTGCTTCTTTGTGCTAAGTCCTTCGGTATTACCTTAGTTAATTCTCACAACAGCCCTGCTATAATCTGTTTATATAGTCCAGGACACTTATGAGCCACATGTATCCTGTTCCTTATACATGAATTGACATTCTTTAAAAAAAAGCCCTGGTGCTCAGTTGGCTGGAGTGATATCTCATACACAAAAATGTTTCGGGTTTCATTCTCGGTCACATACCTAGGGTACATACCTAGGTTTCAGGTTCCATCACAGATTGAGGTGTGTAGGGGAGGCAACCAATCTATATTTCTCTTACACTGATGTTTCTCACTCTCTCTCTCTAAAATCAATAAACATATCCTTAGGTGAGGATTTAAAAAAAATGTTTAGGTGAAGCAATTAGAATAGGAGAACATCTTTCCAATTCATTAAGCTTTTCCCAATTAGCTTGAAAAAAAAAAATCTTCAGATAAATCTACAAAACGAGAGAGAAAATTATTTTAAAAGGTTACATGAACACGGCCAGTGTGGCTCAGTGGTTGAGCTTTGACCCAAGCACCAAGAGGTCGCCAGTTCAATTCCCGGTCAGGGCACATGCCCAGGTTGTGGGCCAAATCCCCAGTGGAGGGCATGCAGGAGGTGGCCAGTCCATGTTCTCTCTCATTGATGTTTCTCTCTCTTTCTCTCTCTTCCTTCCTCTCTCTCTAAAATCAATAAAAGGAAAAAAATAAAATAAAAGGTCAGATGAGTAGCCTTCCTTGGAATTCTCTATCATAAATGTGTTTCATATCTTAAATTAGGCTAACAAGGTTTCTGGAACCCCCTCCTCACAGAAAATCTAAGTGCCTGACTGAGCCAAGCTGACCTAGGTCAACTCACTCTCCACTGAGGGCAACACATCATCTGGATTTTGGACTCAAACCTTCAATCATTCCAAAGCCTTAAAGGCCACATACCATTCACAAACTATCTGTAGCAGAATATGCTTGTGTATAAAATGCAGTGATTTTTGCCACCAAGAGATTATAAAATGAGAAAATAAACCCAGGATGTAGTAGTTTAAGATGTTTTTAATGTGAGACCTTCATTATTTCCCCCAAAACAGTTTGGTATGACTATATCTCAAGTGTAGGTACATTTAATAGAGAAACTTAGGTTCGGAAGTCTCAAAGAGAACTTAAAGGATGTTTAACCCAACTTCCTTTCTTTACTTGTGAGAGAATAGGCCCAGAGAAGGGGAGTGATGTTCCTAAGGTCATATGTGGGAACTTAGGAAGCAGACTCAGATCCCTCTCTGCTGATCCTTTTACCACACTAGGCTGCTGCCCTCAATATAACCCCATAAGATCACATCCAAGCATGGAATTAGCAATACCTTCTGAACTCAGGTGTTGGTTTTTCAAGGTTCAAAGTATTTTCCAAATTCCTCTTGACTATAATTTTAGCTAACTTTGGATGAAACAATAACATTGATGTAAAGATTTTATTACAGAGATTTCAAAACATTCAGTTAACACTTCCTACTGATAGACATGGAGAACTGAAGCACAAAAAGGTGAAAGGAATGAGGAATGGAGAAGGAACTATATTACAATAATCAGGTTATTTTAGAAATCTGCAAGCCTTCCTGTGCCTTTTAAAGCTGTGGCTAGCTACAGATAAAGGAAAAATGATTTTTTCACATTTCCAGCCTAACTTGCCTCTCTGAGCTTAATCTATAAAAAATATCATATCACAACAATGATCACAGCAGCATTATTCACTACAGTTGAAAGATGCAAACAAGTCAAATCTTCATCAACAGATAATGGACAAACAAAATGTAATATATACACACAGTGGAATATTATTCAGCTATAAAAAGGAATAAAATTCTGACACATGCTGCAACATGGATGAACCATGAAAGCATTATGCTAAGTGAAATAAGCCTATCACAAAGGGACAAATATTGCATGATATGTACATATATCATATATCTCATATATATAATTATACATGGTGTCTAGAATAGGCAACTTCATAGATACAGAAAACAGAATAGAGATTACTAGGGCTGAGGGGGGGAGTTATTGTATAATAGGTACAGGATTTCTGGTTAGGATAATAAAAACGTTTGGGAAATGAATAGTGGTAACTATTGTGAGTGTACTTGGTACCACTGAATTGTACACTTTAAAATGGTTAAAATGGTAAATTTTATATGTTTATATTATAACAATTTCAAAAATTATACCAAAGTTTGGATCATATCCCTTTAATTCTCAATTGCTATTCATTCATTGCTATTAAAGCCCAAATTTCTCCTCAAGTCCTGCTTACTATCAACAGTGTTATGGTCATCTACATATGCTCTCATACACAGATAAACAGAAGCACACCTAAGTCACTTTGTGTTCTGCAGACGCCATCCACAAACACGTATCCATCCTAAGACCACCTACATGATGACTCCAACAAGAAAGCCCATGGCAAGACTAACGCAACCAGTATTTCTGGAGATCCTGGCAACCAAACACCCTGACAGAGTCCCAGCTCAACCCTTAAATTCCTCATCATGGTAGGGGGTGGGGTATATATTTAGTTTACATGTACTCCAACTGTAAAGAAAACTGTGTGCATATATGGGGAAGACCTTCAGGAACAGCTAACCGAAGTCTGCTCCACCAGGCCCATGAACAAAGAGATTTCAGCCCATACATGGCTGTTTGGTGAACTCAGAAATTGCATATTACACCGAACAGCAGTGTCCTTAATGCAAATGCATATAATTGGGAGCTAAATCTTTGTCCCTTTACAGGACAAAGGATACAATAAACAGAATGTACCACTTGTGAATTCTGAGGAAAGGAGAGCTTTTCATTTTTCCTTAAAAGAATCAATTTCTCGTGAGGCAAAGAGAATCTGAGAACAAGAGTCTTTTGAAATAGAAGGAGGAAGGAGGGTGCAAAATATGAGTTTTGTGTTATAATCATAATGATCACCAGGCCCCAGAGGTGCCAATTCAGTGCCATATCATGACCTTTACTCAACTTTAATTTAAAGGTTTTCACAACCTCATCTTCTTTCATGGAAACCTTTCCATTGCCAGTGGTTTGATAACTGAGTCCATTAGTTTTTGAAGATCTCAAGAGTTTGTGAAGAAAAACAGTCTCTAGTGATACTTCCCATTGCCAACACTCATGGACATTTAGCACAAATAAGCTGCCACTTGTAAGAGGTCCACTTGAATTCATTCCCTTGTGCAACTTAAAGACATGCCAAGATCACAGTAAGATATTTAGAGGCAAACATCTTTAGAATAAGGTTTCATTCCCAATGAAAGTGCTTAATTAGCAGAACCACTATGCTAGAGAACTGTCCTTGAATACGCATGCATTTTAACCTCCATGTTATTTTTTCTGAAGCACAAATTTTCCTCTCACTGGATGGTCAGGAAATTATTAAGCACAGAAAACCAACTGTCATTAAGTGTTGATCCATAAAATAAGTTCCATCGTTCCAAGCAGGTTTCGGCTGCCTTAGAGGATGATATCCCAGTTTATGAGGGAGACCATTCTTTGGAATCTAATGGCCTTTTCTCCATTCATTTGCGATGAGCAATGCTCCTATGGCCTCGTTACCGCTAAACTCTTTCAACACTTCCCACCAACCTCTTCTGGCTCCCCATGCCATCTTCCCACCCCTAATTTCAGCCAACCGTGTTTATAAGACATCAGTTAGTAAATCACAATTCAAATGAATCCATCCATTTGTTCCGCAGAAAGTGGCATATGGAATTGCTCCACGTGGAGCCCATAGGCCAGAGTTACATATGGCAGGCTTGCTTACATGAACAGGATATGATTTACTTATGACAACCATGTGTGTTTGATGCCCATTTCCAGCAGGTTGTGGCTTCATTTGCCTGCCTCAGTCTGGGATGACCTATCTACTCACTGTGTCCTGTTTCAGGTACCGTATATCCATGCTGGGGAAACAGAGAGGGGCAACAGGCTGGGAGGCTGCACACACAGATGCTCCTAGCCCTGCTGGCCACATAACAATCTGTGACCAAGCACAAAGTGGGCAAATGTAACTTGCTGCAAAGGTTTTCATGTACAATGATTTTGAGTGGAGAAATAACTGCTGGAATGACTGATCACATGGGGTTCATTAAACTGTTGTGTATTTACCCACAAGGAAGGCTGGGATGCTTGGGAGGAAAGCCCTGCTCCTCATTTCACAGATTTTGACCCCCCACCTTTGGCAATGATGCTGCAAATGCGAATGGCAGATAGGCATCAGAAGGTCCAAATGTGGACTCCAACTGAAGTGCAGTAAACTTCTGCCTCCAATCGTCTCCCCCTCTTTACCCCCCAGTTGTATTTATACTTTGAAAGAAGTTAACACGAAACAGTAGACACCTGGGCGTGCTCAATTTTTGACAAGCCTTAGTCACTCTGTATCCAGCAGAACAATTCACATTATAGTCGAAATCCTGTGAAGATTTCTGCCACACATGCTAACACTAAAATGCCAGTAGCTCCACTTACCTTCTTTATTAAGCCTCATAACCTCCCTGCTTTTTCCACCCTCTTTTCCAGCCTCTTCTAAATCTATATCTGCAGATGAAAAAGAAAAAGAAAAAAGAAAATAAGGGAAAAAATCGAAAAAAGGGGGAAAAAAGCCAAAGTCAAGGGGGGGGGGGAGGGACAGTGTTTATTTGCAAACAGATTTATATAAATACTGTATTTGAAAATCTTTCCAAAATTGACAATGCGACGTTTTCTCCCAAGTCTGGATTTCCATCTACCTGGCCCAGATAGGTACCAAAAAAACTATGCAAGCAGCAACAGAGTAGCCTTTTAAACAGATACACCATTGGGCTGTGAAAGCCCACCCCGCGGGCTGCCACGGGGAGCCGGGCACAGACAGACAGACAGCCCTGGCAGCAGGGCCTCTCTCTGTGCATTGATGATCTGTCTCCCTGTGTATTTATTTAGAGAGAGAGGGAGAAGCATGGAGGACACCGGGGGCCACTCTCTCTCTCACACACACACTTTTTCCCAGTGGCTCTAGGTGAATGGAAAGGTTACAGGATGATAAAAGGAGGAGGAGGCGGTGGGGTTCTTACTGTCGGAGCAGTGTAATTTGGCGGCGTCGATCCAGGAGGACCAGGGTTTGCCCAGAAACGCCTCCGGACTGGGCACTTTGCGATCCAGTGTCGCCATTGCTCTTCCTTCTTGTTGCTTTTTCCCTGTTCCTTCGGCAGCAGCAGCCGAGAGACACGGGATTCGAGAACGCTCCGACGTCATCTTCGGAACGTTCCGACATTGAGTGTTCTGAAAGGGGGAGGGGGGAGAGAGGCTGGGAGGGGGAGGCAGGAGGAGCAGAGAGAGAGGAGGAGGAGCCGGCGCCCCGGCGCCCGCAGCTCGATGGGCTCGGCTCGCAGCTTGCACGGCCGCCAGAGGCAGCAGAGAGGCGCCTGCAGCTCGGCGCCCGCAGCTCGGCGCCCGCCCGCCCGCTCGCCGGGGAGGAGCCGCGTGGCCCGGCCAGCGCCGCGTGCCGGCGACCGGAGTCTGCCGCGCGCCGGGGTGCGGAGATGCTGCGCCGCCGCCGCCACCGCCTGCAGCCGGCGGCCCCGAGGGACCAGGGCGAGGCGGCGGGGACAGACACCGGAGAGGCTCGACCCGAGCCGTAGGAAGAGTGGTCTTTCCCACAGAGTTGCCGCCTGAGGACTTAAAGTTTCTGCCTGCAGCCCTTCCAGGGTGTCCTGCCCTCGCCAGTTTCCCGACGCCCACGGCGAGGCGCCTCCGCGTGGATTCCCGCGGCTTGGTGGGGCGGAGACGAGCAGGTTTGCACCCCCCCCCCATCACACCAAGCCAAGGAGAGGATCTTGGCGACCTCGCATCCAGTCACCATCCCTTTTTACCCCTTCTTCTCGTTCAAGGTGGACCTTAGACCTTTGAGAACTAACTGGAGAGTAGATGGAAGTGGTTCTAAAAAGCAGGTGCATTTCGGGCGAGAGAAGCTGCTTTCCCATCTCAGGCTGCGGGACATGTAAAGCTCAAAACTCAGCGCCCGGCGCCCCCAGATTATCAGCGCGGTGAGCATCTCCGGCTCGCAGGAACCACTGAGTGGACTTTGCTCCGGGATCACGATAGCGGGAGAACGAATTAACCGGCTTCGGCTCACCGAGTCTCTGGAGCAGTTTTCTGTGTTCCCTAAGGTGAGAGGAGGGTGGCCGGGCCCAGAATCTGATTCCTGGAAGAATTCGTTTTAGGTTTAACTGCTTTAGCTAGCTAGCTAGGAACTTACCTAAAACGTGGACACCCACGATAGATATATTTTTCCTCTATTTCCCCAGTACCCTCTTCGTTCTTACCACCTTTGTTTTCCCATGGCTGAAGCGCACTGATTTGAAATTGCTCTGTACTTGAGTTCTGCCCTAGCTGTGCCATCTAATTCCCTGCACTTGGCGTCCTATATCTCAGAGCCAGGGTTAGGACGGGCGATGGAGGCGGAGTTACACGTTGGTCTTCAATAGTGATGTTTGTGTGAATGGGCTAGTTTATTTTGTCAGACCCCGGTAAATTTCATTTGCCTTTGCTCTTTTTGGAAGAGTCCCCAAAGAGGGACCACGAAGTGGCCAAGGTGCCACTGGGTGGAGAATTCTCATTTTAAGGATTGGCGATGTTAACAAATCTTTATTACTTACTATCCTCTGTGTATGCTAGAACCTGTGCTTAACATTTCCTCCCTCCCTCCCATCCATCCATCCATCCATCCATCCATCCATCCATCCATCCATCTTTTCAACAAATATTGCTTGTAATGGACCAGCCACCCTCAGCAGAGGAAAACAAATGAGACCCAGCCCAGCTCTCAGGGAGATGCAGTCTGGTGGTTTCTGTAGAAGAAGGAGGGTGTGAAACTTATCAAGTTCTTGGGAAAAGAAGACATCTACAGAATAACTGGCCAGGGGGTGGTAAAGGGCATGTCTCTCAGAGCTGTGCCTGTTCATAGGAAGAACTGAAATCTAGTTTGGAATGATCAGAAAATGTGTCACTGAGAAGATGGGATCTGCTTTGAATCTTGGAAATTGGGAAGGATTTATAATGGTAAGTTAAAGACTGGTCTTGCCAAGGGAGGGGGAGTGATAGTGTTAGCAGAGGCTTCAAGCTGTACATAAGTGTGGCATGTTTAGGTATTGAATGCGCTTTACCTGGGATGGTGGATTACAATTTGGTTTGAGGATGATGAGTTTGTATAGTCAGGTCTGGGTCAAATTATGGAAGACACTGAATGATAGCCTAAAGAGTTGGAGTTTTGCTTGACAATGGGGAACCACTACAGGGGCTTTCTGCTGCATAAGGGTAAGTAGAAAGTATGATTTAGGAGGATTACTCTGGCCTTGATGTCCAGGATGTATTGCACTGTGGAAGCTGATTAGGAAAGTAGTCCTACACTGTTGATAATGTGAAGAAATGAAGACCTGAACTTTGGTATTCCCATGAAGTGGAGATGAAGGGACAGGTATGAGACTCCATGGAGAAAGCACCTCATCAGAGGTTATGTTGTATGTTTATATTTTGGGAGAATGAGAAAGAGAGAGAGAGCTGCGAGGCATAAATAATGAGATCCCTGGAACATTTTCCCCTTCCCCTACTTCTTTCTGATTTTCTTTCCATTTTGGTGTTTATTCCTCTATTGATGCAAGGGAAGATATGGTTGACAGCCTCTAAGATGACCCCAATGATCCCTATGTCCTGGTATTTATTATACCCTTGTGTGATCTCCTCCCCTTCATTGTGGATTGAACCTAATGACTTGCTTCTAACAAATAGAATATGGCAAAAGTGATGGCATGTCATTTCTGAGGTTAGGTTACAAAAAGACAGTGGCTTCTCTCTTGCTCTCATTGGCTTACTCTAAGAAAGTAAGCCACAACTCTTGTTTTGACCTGCCCTAGGGAGAGGTGCATATAACAAGAAGCTGAGGGAGGCCTCTGCTGATAGTCAGCGAGCGAGGAACTGAGGCCCCTAGTCCAATATCCTATGAGGTGCTGAATCCTGTCACCAGCCACATGAGTGAGTTTGAAGCTTATCTTCCTCCAGTTGAGCCTTAAGATTAGACCATAGCACTGTGAGAGATGCTGTGGTGGAGGCACCCAGCCAAGTCATGCCTGTATTCCTGACCCACATAAATTGCGATAATTAATGTTTATCATTTTAAGTTGTTAAGTTTTGGAGTAAGTTGTTACATAGTAATATGTAACTACTACAGAATGACTTGAGTATAAAGTGATTGGATAACAAAAAATAAATTTAACGAAGGAAAAGTCTGAGCAGTGTTCCCTTTCCCTCTTTGAGCCTCCTGTGAATTGTGTATCATCTTTCCCCAATTTTTTTGCCAGTTTTGTGGAACTGGTTTACACTAGTATCTCCTATACTCTGAGTTTTGTAATTTATCTTTACCCTTTAGATATATAAGTTTTTGCTCTTTAAATTGAGGGGTGGGAAGAGATAAACTAAAGAATTTATATGCATATATGCACAAGCAATCGACATAGACTCTAGGCTGGGGAAGGCAGGATGGGGGAGGGAAGGAGGGAGTCAATGGAGAAAAAGGGAGACATCTGTAATACTTTCAACAATAAAATAAATAAACAAATATATAAACTCAATTACTACTTTGTAGAAAGAATTCTACAACGACAATGTCATAATGTAACTCTGGAAACAAGTCTATTGACAGCAATGCCATCACACTGGGGGCTGTTAAAAACCCTGCCCTCCCTCCAGGTGTGTGAAGTTCATAATGATGAAGGGACTCAAACTCAGTGGCTGGGAGTCATTGACTTGATCTTCCAGAAAATTCTGTCTCCTTTCCTGAGAGCCACTTTAAACCACTAAAAAAAATATCAAAGGTGGCTTTTCCTTAGGTGAAGTCAGGGCACCTCAGTTGCAGAGAAACAAGGCAATGTTTTGATATTTTAACATTAGTTTACTCTCCTAGCTGAGTCTCTCAAGTAGAGGTTATTTCTGCACAGCACCCGGAAGATGGTATGACAGCCTAAATATTCTCTTCTAGCTGAGAGGATTTTACTTTGCAACATAGTAAAGAATGGGCTGGAATCTAAAAATAATTTAGCATCTTGCCGGGCTGATGTGGCTCAGTGGGCTGAGGGTCTTCCCGTGAACTGAGAGGTCCCGGTTCGATTCCTTGTCAGGGCACATGCCCAGGTTGCAGGCTCAATCCCTCGTTGGAGGTGAGCAGGAGGCAGCTGATCGGTGTGTTTCTCTCACATCGATATTTCTCTCTCTCTAAAAAAAAAATCAATTAAAAAAAAATATAGCTCTGGCCAGTTTGGCTGAGTGGTTAGAGCATTGGCCCGCGGACCAGAGAGGCCTGGGTTCAGTTCTTGCTAAGGGCTCGTACCTCGGTTGCAGTTTGTCTCTGGCCCCAGTTGGGGTTGTGTGGGTGGCAACCACTTGATGTGTCTCTCTCACATCTATGTTTCTTTCTTTCTCTTCCTCCCTCCCTTCCTCCCACTCTATCTTAAGATATATGCAAAAAAAAAGAAAAAAAAAAAAGTCCTCCGGTGAGGGTAAAAAAAAAACATATAAAAGTAATTTAACATCTCTACAAAAGAAGACTGGAAACATTGCCATTTTAACTGATAATCAGAACAAGTGTACATTATTGCAGTTAGAGTTATGGAGTATAATTGCAGAGTTTTTATTTTAAGCCTTCGACAGGTTCTCCACTGACTACAGAGATAATACTACCAACCTTGTGAAACTATAACCCATCTATCGCTTTGTAAATATAACATGGCTGTCAATTAAATTACACTGCTAGGAACCAGAGAATAAAGAAAGCATTGCTCATCAAACTGCTAGACTTTCACACTTGACTTCAGATGAAAACTGAGGTCAGTTTGTTACAGGAAAGGACTTGGCTCTTGGTGAGTCTGTCTAGGGCCAGGTTTGTGAGTGTGTGGCTTCTTGACTTTGTGCAGGAAGTTTCGCAACACAAGTCCAGGTGAATTTTAGAGGACATTTATTAAAGCTGGGACAATGTACAATGAAGGGCTGGGGAATAAGGTTAGGCTGGTCTGCTTTGGCTTATTAAGAAGTCAGAGAAATTGGGGCCTTGGGGAAAGGTTTAGGGGTCTTGCCTGGGATAAACTGTCACTGCCCATTGCTTCCCTGGTTGCAAGCCTTGTGGGGTCCCTTAGAGTGGGAGATACATGCCTTTGGGGGAAGAAAAAGGTGGGGGAAGGGGCATGGGCTCTTGGGAAGGAGAGTAC